CACGCGAAAATACGTTCCTGTGTTACTAAGACAGGTTCCAGATAAGACTGGGTAGTTCCTAAAGAAAACGTCCGCGCACAAGCGCGGTAATTTCTAACAAGTTAAAAAGTAATCGTAAACGATTTACATAAAGCGCATTTCCACTTGCATTCATTTCCCATTTATAAGATGCAACTTCTGTTAAAATCGTAAAAATCCGGCCACAAATATGAAAATAGCGTTGCACATGGGCAATCCATTTTTGACGTGTTACTTCAATTTCAGTTTATGAGAAAAATTTCATTTCAATGCTTTTCTAAATAAGAAAGTTGGAACTGCGCATGCGCAAACCTAAATTTTAAAACTAATGTTAGATTTTCCTTTGTTCCAAGCGCCTAAGTATCAAATTTCAGTTAAATGGTGCCATAGATAAAAAAAAGTTGGCACTGCGCATGCGCAAAAGAAAATTTTGAGACTGGCGCTCGATGATTCTTTATTCCAAGTGCCTATGTATCACATTTCATTTAAATTCTTCCATAAATAAAAAAGTTGGCACTGCGCATGCGCAAAACCAAATTTTGAAACTGGCGTTTGATTTTCCTTTATCTCATGTGCCTATGTATCAAATTTCGTTTAAATTCTTCCATAAATAAAAAGTTGGCACTGCGCATGCGCAAAACCAAATTTTGAAATTGGCGTTTGATTTTCCTTTATTCCAAGTGCCTATGTATCAAATTTCATTCAAATACTTTCATAAGTAAAAAAGTTTGCAATTCGGTTTATAAATGGTCGAGATGCGAAAAGGGCACTGTGAATTTTGAATCGATTCGATTCAACTTTTGGCATTGCGTATTATATGCCTAAATCTATGCCCATATTGAATTTCATGCAATTCAGTTCATAACTAACGGAGATGTAAAAGCGATCGAACATTTCTAAACAAAGTTATCGTTCACACGGACAGATAAATGGACAGACAGACAAAGGAACAGACGGAGAGACCAACCGGCAGGCGACAGATAGCAATGCAAAATTATAAACGATCTCTAGGATCGTTAATAAACGGCAAAAGTGTAAAATTATAGAACATGTAAAAAAAACGGTTTTTTGTTTTTTTTACAATAACTTTTTTTGTAAGCGGTACAGAAAAAATTCCTTCCTTGGTACAAGACTCGACACCATAACGAACCAAATAGCGAAAAAAGTAGAACAATAAGCTCTTAAGATAAAAAACCAGTAGCGTCGCAAAGTTAGCGGACGGACGGACGGACGGACGGACGGACGGACGGACAAAGTGGCCACAATAGCGCATTTTTTTTTTATTTTTGTGGAAATGCGCTAAAAACAAAGCTCCGGGAGTAGACGAAATCTATGGCAGTATCTTAAAGACTGTGGTAGAGTCACTTTTTGACATACTTAAAACAGAAAAATAAAGAAAGAATTAAAAAAGTAAAGGAAACAATAGAAAAAAATAGAAAAAAAAATGTAATAATTGAAATTAAAATCGACAGATGCGATCAAACAATGCTAAAGGAAGCAATGGGTAATTTTATTCGAAAGCACTTAGGGATAGTGAAAATAAAAATCGCACAAGAAGGGATAAAGGAAAATTACATTAAAATGGGGAAAGTTAAGAGAAATACTGTAAAATGGAAGTGGAATTACAGTAACGAAAGAATGGAAAAAACTTCATTCGTATAATATAATATAATAGCTACCTAGTTCTCCAAACTTAATATAAAATGTACTGTGATGATTAATATATTACAGTATTGGGAGGCTTCAACACCGTTTACGAAAACACGGTTCATTTCATCCAATCATAAAACGTCAAAATACCGTAATGATTGATGCGGGAAACCAAGAAAATGTTTTTCAAAAGTTTCGATATTTCAAACAAGTTAAAAAGTAATCGTAAACGATTTACATAAAGCGCATTTCCACTTGCATTCATTTCCCATTTGTAAGATGCAACTTCTGTTAAAATCGTAAAAATCCGGCCACAAATATGAAAGATAGCGTTGCACATGGGCAATCCATTGTTGACGTGCTACTTCAATTTCAGTTTATGAGAAGAATTTCATTTCAATGCTTTTCTAAATAAGAAAGTTGGAACTGCGCATGCGCAAACCTAATTTTTAAAACTAATTTACTATAACTAACTAATAAACTAAGATTTTCCTTTGTTCCAAGCGCCTAAGTATCAAATTTCACTTAAATAGTTCCATAGATAAAAAAGTTGGCACGGCGCATGCGCAAAATAAAAGTTTGAAACTGGCGCTAGATTTTCCTTTATTCCAAGTGCCTATGTATCACATTTCATTTAAATTCTTCCATAAATAAAAAAAGTTGGCACTGCGCATGCGCAAAACCAAATTTTGAAATTGGCGTTTGATTTTCCTTTATCCCAAGTGCCTATGGATAAATTTCGTTTAAATTCTTTCATAAATAAAAAAGTTGGCACTGCGCATGCGCAAAACCAAATTTTGAAATTGGCGTTTGATTTTCCTTTATCCCAAGTGCCTATGGATAAATTTCGTTTGAATTCTTCCATAAATAAAAAAGTTGGCACTGCGCATGCGCAAAACCAAATTTTGAAATTGGCGTTTGATTTTCCTTTATCCCAAGTGGCTATGTATCAAATTTCGTTTAAATTCTTCCATAAATAAAAAAGTTGGCACTGCGCATGCGCAAAACCAAATTTTGAAATTGGCGTTTGATTTTCCTTTATCCCAATTGCCTATGTATCAAATTTCGTTTAAATTCTTCCATAAATAAAAAAGTTGGCACTGCGCATGCGCAAAACCAAATTTTGAAATTGGCGTTTGATTTCCCTTTATTCCAAGTGCCTATGTATCAAATTTCATTCAAATACTTTTATAAGTAAAAAAGTTTGCAATTCGGTTTATAAATGGTCGAGATGCGAAAAAGGCACTGTGAATTTTGAATCGATTCGATCCAACTTTTGGCATTGCGTATTATATGGCTAAATCTATGCCCATATTGAATTTCATGCAATTCAGTTCATAACTAACGGAGATGTAAAAGCGATCGAACATTTCTAAACAAACTTATCGTTCACACGGACAGATAGATGGACAGACAGACAAAGGAACAGACGGACAGACCAACCGGCAGACGACAGATAGCAATGCAAAATTATAAACGATCTCTAGGATCGTTAATAAACGGCAAAAGTGTAAAATTATGGAACATGTAAAAAACGGTTTTTTGTTTTTTTTACAATAACTTTTTTTTAAGCGGTACAGAAAAAATTCCTTCCTTGGTACAAGGCTCGACACCATAACGAACCAAATAGCGAAAAAAGTAGAACAATAGCTCTTAAGATAAAGAACTAGTAGCGTCGCAAAACGTGCGGACGGACGGACGGACGGACGGACGGACGGACAAAGTGGCCACAATAGCGCATTTTTTTTTATTTTTGTGGAAATGCGCTAAAAATAGAAAAATTAATTTCATTTATTTATTTATTGTCCCTCTTTTTCTACGCCCTCAACAGGCATACGCCCAATTACAGAGTGACCCGCATAATACTTTTTAAAGGTGGCCCCGCAGTAGGTCTGAAGTTGTTCTATACTACTTCGGTAGTTTACTTTACGAATTAGGAAATCTGCAGGAAAACCTAATTCGGAGTAGCCGGCAGAATGTTCGAAATTGATATAAGGAAATTCCCATCTCTGCCAGAGAAGAAAAATGTCTATCTCAGCCCAGGTTCATCACCCGACCTCCGGTTTTGTAGCCCAACCATTCAATAAAATTAATTTTTTATTCAATGGCCTAACGCTCTACTACAAAGCCGATTTTCATTTCTACTACCCTATCAACCCTTGTATTGTTGAAAAGACCGAAAAATACTGTAATCGACAACGCGATTACATAATTATATGAAAGATTGAAGAAAACTAAAACTAAGGTGGTTATGAAAATTACATCTACGCTACTAACTTCTATGTGAAAATGTACATTCCTTTGCAATTTATTTATGTCTTCCGTAATACCTAATGAAACTGTCGCTTTATGGTTTCAGACTGTTCAAGAAAAAAATATGATTCCAATTCGGCCCCGAAACATTTTTCTCGTTCAACCGGCAGGATTCCGAGATCCTAATGCTGTACAGTGTACACGATAAATAAGCCACCGTGTATATATTTTTGGTATGGTTATAGGTTCGCCTGACATTAGCCCTGTAAGGGTAGATAATAACCGTATATACTACAGTAAGAGGCGACTTATCAACGAAAGAGGTGGATAGTGGGCGATTTAGGGTGGCTAGGACCAGTGGCGGATGCAGGATGACATTTTGGAGAGTTATGTTAGTATAGATATCGTATTCCGGGAAGGGGGGAAAGGGATGCGGAGTGCCCTTACATAGAAGAAGTTTTTGCTGTAGATCTTAGGATGTCCTTCTTAACACTTTATCAATGACACTTGATAAAACTGGAGGTGCAGAGAATTGTATATTCTTGAATCTTAGCCCTTGGATCCGCGCTTGGCTAGGATGAATACATGAGTTGATAGGATATTCGAGAGAGATGCGTAGGATGAATTCTATACTGATAATGATTATAATCCATTAAAACTCTTTCGGGCTGTGTAAGATTTCTTGGTCGATTGGTTCGGGGACCGGCTATTCCAGCATCTAAAAGCGTGCGACGGGATCTCCGGACATTACAAATGTTGAGACGTGAGCTTCCATGATGATCGTATCGAAAAAGAGCGTGTGACAGATTTAGTTCAAGTGCGATGTGGAGTAGATTCTGTTAGAAATTTTATCGTAGGTTATATCGTCGTGTTGGGCTTCAATTCAATTCCAACTGGAGAGAGGAGGCCCCGACGACTGTCTTGCATCGAGGCCCTTGGGCACCGTGCTACACTACTGATGGTAGAGCTAGTGATAAAAAAAACCTAGATTATTAGATGGGAGAGAGGGGCTAAAAACGAATGGAGATGAATAATTTAATTAAACAGCACGTGGGTTTTCTTGACTGATAGCGGTAAAGTTCCCTTTTCTTTTCCTCTTGTAGGATCAAAGGATTCGCTGTATATGGTTCGTTTTTGCATTTTATTGTGCCTGTACCGCTTCATTATGTAATTGGGAATGAACACTTTTAAAAGGCCATGGTAAATTAAATCTTCTGCGTCTGTTCGTTGTACCTCGAAGGAGATGAACGAAATTAAGATTTAAATTTTTCGTAAAAGACCAGAACGGAAGTTCGTACAGGAAACAAGGTGCGAGGAGCGGTACTTGCGAAGTTACAGGTGTAGAAGGAACAGCGTGGGGGCTTCTTAGATTTACTAGCATTCAGACACGCTGCCGGTACCGTGTTCTTCAGACGATGAGCACCTGTATCTAAATGCCACTAAAGTGGTGATGACGATGACTTGTGACAATATATTGACTGACTGTCATATTAAGTAAAATTTCGCGCATCAATTATAGAAAATTCGTGACAAATGTAATTAATTTGTTTACTAATTTTGTGTGATATGGATATTTAATTAGTTTTAATTGGTATGGAGTCGTTCTGTGCTTCTGCTCCTCGCTCGAAACGTCGTGCTGCGTTGACATCCAGCAGTTTCTATCAAACTTCTCCCTATAGTAGAAATCTGAGACAAGTGAGTACATTTTATTAGACAACCTAATTTTAACAATTTTAAGAACAAAATGTTACGTAAAGTTATGTAAAATATATGCAAATTATTACCGAAAAACATCGCGGTTGACCGTAACCAGTACGTGTAAATGAAGAAAAAATGTAATTACCTCGATATATTTTCCAAGGTACATTTAGTTACCTAATCCTTTAAGGTCAAGAAACAATTGTTTTGGTTATTTATGAATAAAGCTTTGGGCTAAATCGTGCGTTTCGTTAATTTCTAAATTCGAATTAATCGGACTGATTCATCTTGAATTTTTTTCTTTATACAGTTGCATTGCAAATTTAATCGATATTCAATCCCTCATTATGCTCATCATTTTTTTTGGGTAATGAAGGTCTTAATTTTTTCAAAAGCATTCATCTTCAGCAGCAATGTGCTGTAGGAATATTAAGGCAGGTCAGTGAATTTATCTCGAATACAGGTGTTCTACCTACTTGGTGTTTTAAACAAAGTCAAGGGCATCCGCTGACTGCAAGATAAAAGACCGGAGAGGTCTTCCTTTTTTTTGTTATTGTCAATGAACCTCTTCTCAAATTTGTTATGTAGATGCGTTAATAGAAAGTTAGCGGTTCGAGTTTTCCGTTATACGCCTTATATCATCCACGAGGACAATTATCATTCGAAAACTGAGGTCAAAATAATTATTACCCTGTACAACTGTAAAAACTTTCATAACGATAATCAATATTCATTAAAGTTCCACGATCGTTTTTTAAAATATCCTGTTAACAATTGGAACGAGATGAAAAATTGTATTAGGATGACTAAACACATTAAATTAGATTCCAGTTTCAATAAGTTTACAGTTAACCCGTTCCATTCGTGTATAAATCTATCTATACTTTTTTGGAATTCCACTTATAAAATATGAAAAGACGATATTCGATTTCGAGTTAATGTATCACAAAGTAATTTCGCATGTTTTAACAGAATTAGAAAAATCTTCTTAACAATCGTGAATTCTTAATGAGTCTATTATGAATTGTGTACCTAATTGTGTTTTCCCCTTGTTGTTTTCCATGTCGTAAATTACTATTATATCTCTTTTGAAATTTTAACTAGTATAGAGTTCATTAGTGAATCTTAAAAGCAATAATTAACCGATATGAAATCCGTTTTATGATTTCAACGTTATTGGATCATTAGTATTCTAGAATTTTCAAAATGCTGATACTTTTCACGAAACTTGTCTCAGTAGATACCAAATCACTCGACTCGCATTTTTTGTGCATATTAAGCAAGTATTTTTCCATTTCTATTTCCTTTGAGGGATACACAAAAGATGGTTTTTGAAAAAAATTCTGTCGTTGTCGCACAGTGGAGTATTTGAAACAATTAGCTGGCCAAAATTCAGAATAATGAATAAAATCCACAAAGAATACAATAAAAAAATTCAAGACGGCGGCCATCCGAAAATGACAAACTTTTATATCGTATGGGAACTAATATTGACAAAAGAAATGAGACTGTCAGATGAAAAGCTGCTGCTGCTACTGTGTTCTTCAACCTTACCATCAAAAATCTACATGCTAAGGGTATCCTACATTAAATCCTTAGCATGGCGTTTACTTAGTCTTAAGTTCAAAGATTTCATAGCAAAGGATCGAGTGTGAAAAGAAGCCGTTTGAACCTATCTACATTAGTGGCCTGACGAGAATTTTTCCGCGAAAATCATATTCGATACTTCCGAAGGCTTTTGTTCTTAGCTTCTTTGGATAAGTGACTTAAAACAGCACATCATTTATTGCATCATTGATCTTAAAATAAGAAAACAACCCGTTAACTCGATTTTCTCGAATTTCTCCGAACGGCCTGATGAAATTTCCCAAAAATTTTGTGGTCATATGAAAAGAACAGTCATTTTAATCAAATATAACAGCTAGCTTACCTATGGGCAAAATGGCTTGACTATGAGGGGCCCGTGCACTAGCAACTTGTGCAGAGTTAGCGACATTGTGTACCAATTATATTTTCGCACATAGATTTTGGCAGTTTCCATGATAGTCCCCAAACTTCTCAGAGTTAATTTTGCTAGAAGAACATAATACCTCCAATAAATCTTCGAACCCTGCAAATGTATAAAGAGTTAACAATCACAATATTTTCTTGGAACAAGTGAAAACTTCATTTCAGATGCGTGTATATAAAACCCTTCGACTAACTCACTCACCTGTATGCCACGCGCTTTCTCAGGATTCTCAAATAATTTCCTGGAGATGTTCCCATCGTTGGTATTTCCTGCCTCGATCCTTACACTCGTCCCAATCGTTTAGCCGTATGGAAGCTTTCCGAGCCTCTGCCTCCACAGCTAAGTGTAAACGCTCTAGTCCCAGAAGTGCATCCATGGCAAAGGTAGGCGTGGTTTTTAGGGCTCCAGTGATTTTGTAACTTTGGCACACTTGAGCCTCTGGTATACAAAAACGTTTTACTACAATATACCTATTGTTTACATAGGCTCGTAGGTGAACTCTATTGATTTCCTCCTTGAAAACCCCCCCACTATTCGGGAAAACTGAACAAAAATGTACGGAATCAGCTTCTTTATTTATGGAGGGTACTTACCAAGGGAAAATGATAACCTACCAAAATTCTTTACATATATTTGATGCGAAAGTGTTCAGGTTACTTCGTTGATTGTGACTACAGCATCCAGATATCCATTGTGCGGATATTCGGCCGATTTATTTTTGCTCTTGTTCAAAGAAAAGTAAAATAGTCGATTATTCAAAAACGCTTGAAAATTTTTTATTAGTAATAGCGTTGAATAAAGAATCTGAATTTATTATTCAATGGTAATAGGTACAAATACTAGGATTGACTGTTACTCGTATGTATGGTACCTCAGTCATATCGATTGTGGGCACAGAAGATCGAGGTTAGTGCCGAAACGTCATCAAATGGGAATAAATCGAGATTTGAGTGTCCGATGAAGGTACTAACAAACGAAAAGTGGCAGGTCTGAACAAGAAGAACAGTTTTTGAACAAGAAGTTACAAATATGTTTTATTACTTTGTTCAATATATATCTCAGTGCTCAGTTTGTGATAATTTGTGTACCTAGATGTATTGAAATCACCTATCTATCATGTCCATCAACAATTAACATTAGTTTTGATCAAAATAAATTAAGCATACCTAACTGAAAGCTCCAATAGAAAACAGGAATTTGTTATGTATTACAATTCTACTAAGTGAGGTGTGGGTCACATGGAAAAATTTGTTAGTCATTATATACAACGCATAATAATCTTTAGCAGCATAAAGAGTTAATTCTGAAAAATCCCGCAACAACGCGAAAATTATAACGCACACTCACCCAAATGTCCCTGTAGGTTTAGGCAAAGAATTATCTATGCCAGAAATAGGAAATCTTCATGTCAAAAAAAAGTTTAAAATTTTCAAAGGGCCAATCGCGCACGTTATGCTTTATTCAAAAAGTTGCAACTTGGTCATCAATTTCGTTGGAAAATTTTCTACACACGTCTAAGAAGTAAATTTTATGAATTTTCAACTGATTTAGACCAAAAGATGTAATTTCGTACCGTTTCCAGTGACGATGTCCTACAACTCGCATGCATATGAGAAGTTTTACACGTAGATTCAAGGGTTAAAATTGAGGTTAAGAGATAAAAGGTGAGTACTAAAAGAGTCATGCCCGTATTCAACACTTAATGGTTTGATTAACTAATCGGCAAATGTGTTACATACAATGCAAAATATTACCTGTTTAGTAATAAACACCATTTGTTTTTGTTGGAGACCTGAATTCCTTTTTTACATTATGATTTAAATGCGTGTCAGTTTCTTTATTTATAGTAAGTATGTGGTGCAAGTAAGTAAAATTTAACTATGGCTCAACTTTCCGCAATAACAGTTGGAACAAAAACTGTATTGCAATGCAAGATGGTCCACATTCTTTGGCATGTATAAGAGGTCAATTTTTAGGAAAAGTATGCAGGTTATTAATTTTCTTCGCTACAAGTGTTTTATGTGCATCACTGTTATATAGAGCAGATTTGGATCTTTCTCTCTTTCAGTTTCAATAGTGCAAGTTCTTTGACCGGTGATCTCTTGTGACTAACACCGTTACAGTACCCAACGCAAAAGTATGTCTCTTGAATAAAAATATAGGTTATCCAGGCATGACAGATAGAGAATACTTTTAGCAATCTATATCGATTTACTGTACAGTTATTACACATTACAATAGTTTGTGTATTTTAAAGTCGTATAAACGTTCTGTACTTCAACACTAACAGTTTTTATTGCCAGATGAATCGGCCCGCGAATATCACAGCGTTTGATTCTAATTGTGATTGGGTACCTAACTGTAAATAATTTCTTTCGTATTGCTTGGACTAAAGAACTTTATAGAAAGATAAGGAGTGCTTATTATAATGCATTAATTTACTGTAATAACGGTTTGAAAGATTAAAAAAAATTGTACAAAGAATACTATGAGGGGCCATTATTGCCGTATGATCAGCTCTAAATCAACAAAAAGGTACAGTTATTTGCCGATGTAATAAATAATAATAGAAGATATCAATTTAGTATAATCACGTACTGTGGGAGGTTTGGAAAGAAAATGCGATTTTTAAAATTTGATCCACAATGCAAAGATAAGTTTGACATTGACTTTGCTTGTGGATTGAACTTGGAAACTTTGAGACACACAAGACCGGAACAGTTATTATAATAAGCCGGCGATGCTTAATTTATGCAAATTAAAGGTTTTTTGATCGAACTGTAAATTTTCTTGAATAATTCATTACGTATTCTACATCACATTGTTTTAAAATCACAGATAGGTACACGATAGTATAATACAATGTTCGTTCCTTTTTACATAATTTCCACGAATACGTTTCTTAATTATGTTAGCGATTGTTTGTTTTAAGTTAACCATGCTATACACACATGCTTTATACGAGATGATCGACCGTGATAAGACC